GAGATTTATCTGATATCTAATTAGATGAGGCCAATTTGTCAATCCCCCTCAGCGCGATAAAGGAATCATATCCTGATATATTGGCACAAATTATTCACGCACTCAATTCAGCCAATAATGCTGCTATTCACTCAGTAAACGCTATATTGCAATACTCTGAGTGTACATATATAGACATACAAGTGAATAGAGTAAGTGTGAGGGTGATTGTCAACAGTGGAGCACCCATCAATATTGTCTCAACCATGCTGTTAAGAGGATGAAGATCTCGCTGGATTTGGAACATAAAAAGAAATATGGGACATCTGGGCTGAACACCACCATCTCCTGTGGAGTGTATAGCGTGTTGTCACTATGATTTAGGTCATTGGTGGTATATGCGCCAGTGATAGTTTTGTCCAACCAAAACTATGACATCTGATCAGAATGGAGTTTCTATGCAAATATGGAGTTAAATGTAACTTCAAGGATAATACGTTGACCATATTAGAACAGACATTATCATTGTTATATCAGAAGGATGGTGAAGCTCCGCTGAATTGGAGAAACAACTTCATCAATCTAATATACAATGACGGCATTGTCCCAATTTGGTACCAATTAGTAGGTAGGAAGTGATGAGAAATGCCGTCGGAATGCCCTAGAGAACTGGGGAATTCCACTGAGGATCAAGAATGAGAGGACCATACTGCCAGGATCTCAGATGATAGTAAACATGGGGTTGACATTGAAGATACTTGAGCTGTTGTATGGGGAGGTTGGAAGCCCCTGGAAGAAGTCCAGAGTGGAGCCTTGGGTGGCTCCTAGGATACTAATGCCAGGCCATAGAGAAATTCGAGTTCTCCTGGCGAATTTAAGTGAAAAACAGATATGGATCAAGAGGAATCAGATCATCATGTTTGTTCATCTGATCCTGACAGCCAAATTGAGGAGATTCCATGATTTTGGGACTCTTGATGAGATGGGATTACTGGCTGAGGTAACTAAAAGTATCTACCTATTGGTTGATCAAGAGCAACTCCATGATCTGCCAGAAGGCCAGAAAGAGGAGGTGCTTGAACTATTCAAAAAGTATTGGGAAGTGTTTGCTCAGGATGATGAATATCTGGGATGCGCACAAGATGTGATCCACAAGGTTGACACTGGGGAAAATTTGCCGATAAGTATGAGACCAATCTGATGATTGAAAGCCGCTGAAGCAGTAGTGGAGGATGAAATCAGCAAACTAGGGAAGCATAGTCTTCTAGTTCCATCATCAAGTCCCTAGGCGAGTTCAATTCTGATCGTGAAGAAAAAGGTTGGCTCCAACTGGGTGGTGATTGACTACCAAAAGCTGAATAAATTAAAAAGAAGGATTTGTATCCCCTACTGAGAATTGACGATGCACTAGATTGATTAGGAGAAGCGAAGTATTTCTCTGTAATGGATCTGCTCTCAGGATATTGGAAGATCGACTTGCCAAAAGAAGACCAGGAAAAATGTGCGATTATTACTGCACAGGGGCTATACCAACTGACGAGGATTCCCCAGGGTCTATGTAATGCGCCTGCAACGTTTCATAGGGCCATGGACGCGATACTGAGTGACTTGTAGTTGTCATGCGTCATGGTATACCTGGATGATATAAACGTGTTCAGTGGGACATTTACTGATTACCTACACCTTTTAGAAGAAGTATTTAAGCGACTGTCTTCAGCTAACCTGAAGATTAGGCCAAGGAAGTACCACCTCTATAAAAAAGAGTTGGAATATCTGAGATTTGTTATCAACTCAAGTGGATTGCAGCCGCAAAACCAGAAGATAGAAGCCATAGAACGGATGGCTGTGCTGAAGAGCGTCTGAGACATCCAAGTGTTCCTTGGGATGGTCGGATACTACAGAAGATTTATTTGGGACTTTACCTTAATAGCCAAGACCTTATTCCATTTAGTGAATGATCCAAAAAAGGATTCATATGGAATGAAGAGGCCCAGGACTCCTTCAGTGAGCTACGTCGGTATTTAATAAATTCTCTAATTTTGAAATATCTGAATTTCGCTTAAGAGCTTATTGTTCAAACTGATGCTTCATAGATGGCGATCAGCGCTATACTAAGCCGAGTAGATGAACTTGGGGACGAACGTCCAGTGGCATATGTGAGCTAGACCCTCTCAGCTGCTGAGAGGTACTACACCATAACTGAGCGTGAATGCCTTGCAGTCATTTACACATGTAAGCAGTTTTGGATGTCATCCATGGAACGCACTTTAAAGTGGTGATGTATCAATCTTTGTTATGTTGGCTTCACAATTTGAGAGATCCAGAAGGACAACTGGCCCGATGGGCACTTAAGCTTCAGGCTTATGATTATGAGATTGTCCATCAAGTGGGAGCTTCTCACCAGAATGCGGATGGCTTATCACGTTTACCATTGATCCAGATGGTATACCTGCTGGCAGATGAGCTATTTCAGAGAATGGTCGATGGATAAATTAGGAACAAGCCCCAAGAAATACAAGGTGCGCTTTGGAAAGTGATAGAAAACACAAAGACTATGGATGTTCAAGTATTTAAGATGATCAACGGGAAGCAGTTATAATTCTTGAAGCTGTTAGAAAGAGCAGCTATTGTGCAAGCAGCTCATATAGTTGTTGGCATGGAGGCCTGATGAAAACAACTGATCATATTTGCCAGTACTATTACTGGGAATCCATCCACTATGATGTCGCAGATTATCTAGCTTGTTGCGTGGAGTGTCAGATGTACAAACCACATAAGAATACAACTGGATACTGACTGGTCCGCCCTGGATTTGCCTGGAGCATGGTGTCCATTGATGTGATGGAACCACTGACGATGAGCACAGGGGGAGTCAAGTACTATATAGTTGCCATCGACCATCTGATGAGATGGGTTGAGATGAAGGCTCTAACAAAAGTAGATGCTACCAGTACTGCGAGGTTCATCCTGGATCAAGTAGTATATTGACATGGATGTCTGCAGGTCCTGCTTAGCGATAATGGGACCAACTTCACATCTCATGTGATCCCAATATTGAATGAGATAATTGGGATCAGAGGAGTCATTTCAGTACCTTACCAGACAGAGACTAATGGACTGGTAGAATGGGTGAATGGAATGCTGGCCATGACACTGAGGAAGCTGGTCGCAGGAAGAACTTACACATGGGGAACATACCTGAGTTCAGTGACGTTTGCCTACAATATTAGTCATCATACAGCGAAGGGAAAAACGCCGTTTGAGTTGTTATATGGAAGAAAGGCCACGTTGCCGCCAATTTTATATTTGGTGGTGGAACCAACATCGGGGATGAGTGCCAAACAGTACTTGAACTGACTGACAAAATTCCTGATCAATATGCAATTTTAAGCATTTGATACTACGTTGAAGAAAAGGGTATGAGAAAAATCAACGGACAATAAGAACTGACCATACTTAGCAAATATTGAATAGGAGAAAGAGTTGCCTATTGCAATATGCATGTTTTTGGAAAAAGAAACAAACTAGATGCATTATGCTCAGGTCCATTTGAAGTTATCGCCAAAAATGGTGACTGTTGCTACTCCATCATGAATCTCTTGGATGGAAGAGTTGTGAATCGAGTCCACACTAAGTATCTGAAGTGATGTATCAATGAATAAAATAAAAGAGTTCCTGAAGGACTGATGAACCATTAAGTTGGTCATGTCCTGGTGATTAAGTCAAGTCCAAAAAAAAGACCTCTGAACCAATCTAGATGGTTAAGTCCAAAAAAGGACCTCCGAACCATTAAAAACTGGCAGGTTTAAGTACCCAGGACCCAGTTTGAGGGAAAAGATGGACCTCTGAACAGAAACAAGGTCAAGTCTCATGGGGAAAAAGAGAGAGAGAATAAAAATAAACAATTGATAAAAGATATTGGAAAAAAGGATTATAAACCGCACAGAGAATAAGACTGATATAATTTTAAAATTTTAATTTTATTAATTGTCCTCAATACAGGGATGATTCCGCCTATATCACCTCTTGGGGGAGGGAGGATGGATCACAGTAGGAATAAAAACCCCATCAAAATCGATGTGAGATTGGACACTAACGAGGGTTTGACCTACACAAAACCACGTTCTTTAAAAGACGCAGAGCCCTGTGAGAAAGCGACTAGGGGAAGGGAAATTGAGATGTTGGATGAAGCCAATTGCGAAACCCCAGAGCGGGGAGGAAAGCAACAGTATAAGAAGAGGAAATTGGCAAATAACCCTGAGTAATCCCAATATGGTACCAGAGCTGGAAGATTAGTCTTGGAGCCTGACGAACGGCTTCATCAAGAACGCCAGACATATGGGCCAGCAGCAAACAATAAATGCTTGATGGGGGTTGCTTAATAATGCCCCCTACTAAAGCCATCAGCAGAAGATACTGATGGGAAGCGCCAACGAGGAGATAGTCATGCAGGGAGCGTATGGCATCCTGCAAACAATTACTACAGGCTTCTCAGAAGCTGAAGCTGAACAAGCGGTGAAACCTGGGCAAAGCTGGAAGCTTCATGGACTAACTTCAAAGAACTTGGCTAGCAAAGCAAAGAGCATAAGCGGTGGTATCCCAATCCAGGATGTTATCAAGATCATAGGTATTCAGCGCTAGGACAAATCCTTGGTGACTGGACCCTGAATTCAGCGTAGGGGAGTTCAAATGAATACTGTTACTGATGGTGATCTCGGTAGCCAGAAGAGCAGGTTTGTAATATTGTCTGAGTCAGAAGAGGAAGCAGGAAGCAGGTCAAACCTGGCAAGAAATGAGCAATCAAGAGCAAATGGTGTAATCTCCAGAGCATCTACAACAATGGTTAACCCGGATAGCTCAATCAACAGAGCATGAGTCTCTTAATCTCAAGGTTGTGGTTTGACCCCCGCCTTGGCTTATTAAGATACTATGCTATAAATGTCTTATTTTCGTAATATCTGTAAATCCAAAATTTCTAAATTAGTAGACTCAGTAAATTTTATCTTCATACTTTTTAAAAAGCCTGACTAGCTCAATTGGAAGAGCGTGAGACTCTTAATCTCAAGGTTGCAGGTTTGACCCCCACATTGGGCTATTTCTTCCGTTCTAAAAAAATTTCTTTTTAAAGCTTTTCTTTCCCGTTACTATCACTATTAGTAACACAATTCTCCGCAAATTATCCGAATTTGACAACCAACCAGAAAAATGAGCAAATTTGTCTGCAACAACACCAGTTGGGTGAAAGTGGCCAGCGCGAAAGGCCCAAAGCCCTCGCAACCCGCTGGGGAAAAATGCCCTGGCGGAATGTTGACACACCCTCCCACCAAAAAGGGTGAGCGCAGCACTGTACCTGGAGTTTTGCAATTTCTGAAAAAAA